GCAATTCTCCTGCCTCAGCCTCCTGAGTAGCTGGGACTACAGGCACGCACCATCATGCCCAGCCAATTTTTGTATTTTTAGTAGAGACGGGGTTTCACCGTGTTGACCAGGATGGTCTCGATCTCTTGACCTCGTGATCCACCCGCCTCGGCCTCCCAAAGTGCTGGGATTACAGGCTTGAGCCACCGCGCCCGGTAAAACCATACTTATCTTAATACCATTTTATTTTAGGAATACCAAAAGAATTAAATTCTGTTTCAGGAAGGCTGGTACTTTCAAGAGTTTTTAAAATTCCCTCCTTCCCTCCCTCCGTCCCTTCCTCCTTTCCTCCCTCCCTTTCTCCTTTCCTCCTTCCCTCCCCTTATTTATTTATTTTCTTCTTTGTTTCTTTTTTGACAGGATCTCTCTCTGTCACCCAGACTAGAATTCAGTGGCGCAATCATGGCTCACTACAACCTCAGCCTCCTGAGCTCAAGCTATTCTCTCATCTCAGCCTCCTGAGTAGTTGGGACTACAGGTGCACGCCACCATGCCCAGCTAATTTTTAAAATTTTTTGCAGAGACAGTCTTGCTTTGTTGCCCAGGCTGGTCTCAAACTCTGCACTCAAGCAATTCTCCTGCCTCAGCCTTTCCAGGTGCTGGGATTACAGGTGTGAGCCACTGTGCCTGTCCTCAAGGGGTTTTTAACTGCTTTTTTCTCCTTCAGCTTTATATAGGGGAAAATCCATATCTTGTTTTAGTTAACATTTGAATTAGGACTTGTCTGTATTGTCTAAAGGTCATAGATTTGTACTCAAGCTGACATAGATGATGGACAAAGTTAATTTTAGATTTAACTGAAATCTCATTCATTAAGATTTAATTCAGAATTGAATAAATTGTCCATGGGTGTTTGTTTTCATGTGGAGAAAAAGAAACAATATTGTTAATAAACTTTCAAGGAGATGTTATTTAAAGTAATGAACTATTTTAGGCCTTTTGGAAACTAATATTTATAGTCAAAACCTTGTAGATCAGAGCCTTCTATATAAATGTATATTATATTATACATTTATAATTATATTATAATTAAATTATATTATAATTAAAACATTTATAATTATATTATATTATACAATAATGTATATTATAATACTTATATTTAAGTATATATGTGTATATATATATAGGATTGTATTAGTCTTCATCTAGAGTAGCTTGGATTTTTTTTGGAAGCCTATATAAATTTTTAATGTTTGTTTATTTATTCATTCAACAAATATTTATTGAAAACCTACCATTTGTGCTAGGCCTTAGGCAGAATGTACCTTGGTAAGTAAAAACCAATAAGGTAAAGAGGTTTAAAATCATGGATTTTTACCAATATGGTAAAGAGGTTTAAAATCAAAAAAAAAAAAAAAGAGGTTTAAAATCATGGATTTTGGGGCCAAGCATGGTGGCTCATGCCTGTAAGTCTAGCACTCTGGAAGACTGAGGCGGGAGGATCATTAGAGCCCAGGAGTTTGAGACCAACCTGGGCAACATGGAGAAACACCATCTCTACAAAAAATAAAAAACTAGCTAGGCGTGGTGGCTCGCCTGTAGTCCCAGCTACCTGGGATGATGAGGTGGGAGGATCACTTGAGTCTGAGAGGTTGAGGCTGCTTTGAGCCGTGATATGTCACTGCACTCCAGCCTGGGTGACAGAGTGAGACTCTGTCTCAAAAAAAACCAAAAACAAAAACAAGTTATGGATTCTGAAGCCAGACTGGTATGTGACTTATTAATTGTACGATCCTAGACAAGTTACTTTCTCTGGCATCAGTTTTAGAACCCTGTGGGGCAGGTGCTATTATCTTCGCTCTGTCAAGTGGGTATATAGTAACAGTACCTGCCTCACAGGATAGTTACAAGGATTGAGTTCATATAAGTAATTTTCTTAGAATAGTAACTGGTCCATTGTAATTGTTGTTTAAATGTTTGGTATTATTATTATTATTAAACAGACATGATTTCTACCCTTGTGGACTTTAACCTAGGAAACAAAAAAGTAGTAAATAAAAATAATTGTTTATTGTAATAAGTTATGAAGACACCAGAGTACTGATATGAAAGACAGTAGAGTGGGCATACATAGGACAGCCCTGTAAAGGGCCTCCTTGAGGTTGCAGTGAAAGGGTCTGTGAGAGATGGGAAGGAGTCTTTTAGATTACTTCCAGTATTTAATACAGGAGTCAAATAATTTAATCTTTTTTCCTAATTGTCCACCGTATATTCTTTAAAAAAAATTTTTTTTTCCAACTGTTACACAAAGAAGTAACATATTCTTTGAAAAGAAAAGAATTAGTGGGATTTAGTTAAAAATTTGTCAGTGGTTTTGTTGTGTTGAAAGTAAAAGTAATAAATAAATAAATAAATAAATAAAAAATGAAAAAAGAAAGTAAAAGTAAAAATGTACGCCAGAACTGTTGTCCTACCCATCGGTGTTATTTCAAGATGATTTAAGATTGCACCAGGAGACTCTTTGTTCGTTGAATCTTCCTTGCATTTAACATTATTAATATTGAGTAGAAAGGTGTTAACTGGTAGTTAAAATTTTTAGCCTCCTACGTATCTTTGCTTAATGATATAAAATGGTCCTAAGCATTTCTCTTAGAATTAAAATTAATTTAAAATTTAGAATATGTAACAAATCACATCTTATTTTGCAATTTGTAAGGCTACCTTGCTAAAATTGAGGCGCATGGGGCAGAGACAATAATGTTTTGTTAAACTTTAATAATAGCACGTAATATCATGGTCAGGAAGAATATATAATGCTGAGAGCAATAGATTGGTGTCCTCTGGTTTACCTGAAACCTTCATTTATTGACTTGATGCGATCCTACCTGAGAAGGTTTTGTTTTGTTGTGTTTTGTTTTGAGATGGAGTCTTGCTCTGTCACCAGGCTGGAGTGCAGTGGTGTGATCTCAGCTCACTGCAACCTCCACCTCCTGGGTTCAAGTGATTCTCCTGCCTTAGCCTCCTGAGTAGCTGGGACTACAGGTCTTGCTCTGTTGCCCACGCCACCACACCCAGCTAATTTTTTGTATTTTTAGTAGAGACGGGGTTTTACCTTGTTGGCCAAGATGGTCTCACTCTCTTGACCTCGTGATTTGACTGCCTCAGCCTCCCAAAGTGCTGGGATTACAGGCATGAACCACCACATTTGGCTAAGAAGTTCTAATAATAGCAAAGTCTGTCATCCTATGGAGGATGATAATATTTTTTATAGACAAATAATTATTTAATATTTATGTCACCTACATCTATTTTAATATTTTTTCTTTAGTTCGTGCTTTTATTGGTAAGATTATTATAGGTAAAAGCATATATGGTATGTTTTGTGAAATGTCTTTATTACTGACTTGGTGATGTCATGGATATGTAGCCTGCTCAGGAAGAACTCAGAGAAGATACAGATTCTGAAACTAAGGAAGGAGAAGGACTTGAAGAGTGCTCCAAAATAGAAGTAAAAGAAGAAAGCCCTGAATCAAAAGCAGAAAGAGAATTTAAAGCTTCCCAGAAATCAATCAGAAAACACAGGAACATGCATTGCAAGGTTTCTTTGTTGGATGACACAGTTTATGAATGTGTTGTGGAGGTGAGTACGTTTTCATTTCCAACAATCAGAACTCTTACAGATTGTTTCATCTAGAGTTGGGTAAGTCGTGATTTTGCCCGTGATAAGACTCACCCTGATGATTATTCTTTTTTTTTTTTGAGACAGAGTCTGACTCTGTCACCCAGGCTGGAGTGCAGTGGCCCAATTTTGGCTCACTGTAGCCTCTAAATCCCACGTTCAAGCAGTTCTCCTGTCTCAGCCTCCCAAATATCTGGGATTACAGCCATGTGCCACCACACCCGGTTAATTTTTTGTATTTTTAATAGAGACAGGGTTTCACCATTTTGGCCAGGCTGGTCTTGAACTCCTGGCCTCAAGTGATCTGCCCACCTTGGCCTCCCAAATTGCTGGGATTACAGGCATGAGCCACTGCACCCGGCTTCTAATGATTATTTCTGTGGATGGAAGTATTAATGGTGATTTTCTGGAGGTAGGGTTATGGGAAGATTATGAGTCTTTAAGCCCAGTAGATGCCATTTCTTAAAATTTTCTATTATTTTCTGAAAGAATAAGTGATTGAATCAGGATTAAAGAATAATATCTGAGTTATTCAGTTACTCTTTTTGCTCCTTCAGGGCAAATTGAAATTTTTAAAAAAATTATATAATTTTCAAACTAGAACAGTAGTTGTTCATTATGGTATGCATGATATATAAGCAATTGTTGTAATTGTTAGTGGTAACAGCTTTTACTGACAAAACATATAATTCACATATATGTGCAACAAATTATTTTATTTGTTTATTTATGTTTTTGAGACAGGGTCTTACTCTGTTGCCCAGGTTGAAGTGCAGTGGCACAGTGATAGCTCACTGCAGTCTCAACTTCCTGGGCTCAGGTGATTCTCCCACCTCAGCCTCCTAAGTAGCTGGGACTACAGGCACACACCACAACACCTGGCTAATTTTTTTTTATTTTTGTAGAGACAAGGTCTCACCATGTTGACCAGGTCACTATCAAACTCCCAGGCTCAAGCAATCCACCTGCCTCAGCCTCCCAAAGTGCTGAGATTATAGGCATGAGCCACTGCACCCAGCCTTATTTCTTAATCAAATTATTTATGTGCAAATGCAAATATGTTCAAGCACAAATCATCTAAAATATTATGCTATGTTTACTAATAGGTATTCTCTAAGTTTTAAAAGTGAAATCAAGAAAGATATAATTATACTTTGAAACAGGTACTATACACCTAACTAGAGACTTCAGGTCTACATTTTCTGCTTCTTATGCTAATTTAGAGATGGGGAAAGCTATTTTACACTCATTCTTCCCATTCAGACCGAGATCCAGATGTGAGTTTCATATATGAAGCCCTTGGGGACAGATGTGATTTAGAATTCAGAATATTTTGGATTTTAGCAAGGCAATAAGTATATATCCTACATATTTTATAATACACCCAGCAGTGTCTGTAGTAGCACCCACGTGATCAAACATAGTATTTCTATGGCAAAATATATGAAGATTCATTCTAAGGTGGATAAATGAAGATTATAAATAGTCTCTTTACAGTTCAAGTCAAAATTTGCCATTTGGATTTTAATTATGAATAAGAGATTAGGGACCTATACATGAAGCATTTTCAAATCTTCATCTGCCATTTAGAATGAAAACATGGGAGAAAAAAAAAGAAAAAAATGATTTGATATGGATAAGACTGACAATGAATGAACATTTATGTGAATTACTAGTAGTCATTAAAAAAACTCATCTCATTGAGAGGAGGACACGTCATATATGTGTGCCCAAAAAATGATTCTAATTTTTTGAAGTATTTTTGTATATATTTCTCAGAAGTCATTCATATATTTGATTATTTTTAAACAATTCAAATTCTCATTTTCTTTGGGACATTTGGTCTGAAAATGATAGAGTCTAATGATTTCCACAGCCACAATTAAATGTCACTCTGGACAGTTGATTCAGTAATTCAGGTAGTCACAGTGACTGACAGTTGCCCATAGCATACTTCAGGAAGTATTGCACCCAAAATAAAGAATGTGATGTGTAGGATGGAGGTGGGGAAGATGAGATGGAAGGAAGGTAGAATTTTGCTTTGAATTATAACACAGTTTCCAAACTAGTATAAGTGTATTACAATTAACAAATTGAATAAAGGAATTTTGTAAATCATATTTTCTGCTTAAACTCTGTAGCCACCTGTAGGTTTGTTGGTAACCAAAGATAAACGAAGAAATTGGAAAGTGACAGTTTATTTTATTTCATGATGGATATAGAAATAAGAAGAAACTTCAGGCCAGGTGCACTGGCTCACACCTGTAATCCCAGCTCATTGGAAGGCTGAGGCTGGTGGGGGGCAGGGGATCACTTGAGCCTGGGAGTTCAAGACTAGCCTGGGTGACATAATGTGACTCTGTCTACAAAAAATTTTGAAAATTAGGTATGGTGGTGCACATCTGTAGTCCTAGCTACTCTGGAGGCCGAGGTGGGAAGATCACTTGAGCCCAGGAGATTGAGGCTGCAGTGAGCTATGATCAGGCCACTGCACTCCAGCCTGGGCAACAGAGTGAAACCCTATCTCTTTTGGGAATTAA